AGCCAATACATCCTTAAACTATGTCAATATTAACTTGAGTGTTAAATTTAAATTGTAGTATGATGTTCATTGAAGAAAGTACATACTAAAAACTACAATAGAAGACAAAAACTAAAGTACAGCAATTCAAAGGGATCTTTGATTTGCCTTAATATTGTCGGAGTGTAATAATTATGTCAGGCACCTACGCATAATATTAAATAATTATACCACATGAAATTGGAGGCAGAAATATAGAAAAATTAATCGTAAATCGAAGAACATTCTTATATGTAGTAAGAGACTATTTATATCCTGTCAGATTCTGTGAAAATATTTTCCAACGGAAGCTACTTATCAGGCCTTTAAAAAAATGCACTTTTATGTCTACTCTTCATTACGCATCAATGTATGTATTTATGTTTACATAGTATGTCCATGCATTATGATGATGTACTAGCTAGCCCTGGGTGTCGACCGTATCAAGAAAATATCATTAGTGTAAGCAGGATTTCCACAGATAATTACAATTATTAATCTCGTGCGCACAAAAAATTAATAGAAATTTGTTCAATCTTTCGTTATAAGTTCATCTAAACATCTAAAATAAAATATCAAGTCAAGGCTGAAGATCTTCTTCTATCTCTGTCCGCCAGACGGTTACCAATCCATAAAGTGAAGTTCAGTCATTTCATCAGAGTTGCGTTTATATTGTATTGAGAGTCTGCTTCCAATTGCGTGCTTCATTTGCGATAACAATATTTATATCCTCGCAAAGTTTTGAAATTCACTTCAGTGTGCAAATATATAAGCTCTGACAGCTAACATTAATTTCTGCATACGGGCAGAGACACAAGTATTCGTTGACATTTAATAATATTCGAAGCAGTACTCTCTTTCATAATCTATTTTATTAATTAATTTCTTCGTTCTAACATACAAGTTATCCGAAGAGTGGAAAGTTCATGAAGCACTTAAACAGTTGACGTATTTTGTGAACAACTCTCTACTTTTAAATAGCGCCTTATTCATTCGAGTGATCGTGAATTCTCCAAAAGCTATAAAAAAATATAAAGAAAACTGAAGAAATGATTACCACGATTCTATTGTTAGTACTTCTCGCGATCTGTTTACATTACTACCTGCTGCATTTCGGAAAATATGGGAAAATAATTAACTTGATACCGGGCCCACAGCCTAAGCTGATTTTTGGAAACCTTCTATTTTTTCACGTTTCACTAGGTAAAGTACGATAGCATTAACGAATGCGTATTAAAAACATATTCAAGTTGGATCTCGCAGCTATTCAATTTGTTCGGGCCATTGCAGCTGAGCTATGGAAGGATATAAGGAAACTGAACAACCAGTACTATCCCATATCCAGGCTCTGGGGGCTTTGGGAAGCTTTTATAAATATCCGTCATCCGGATGACATTGAGGTAGCAGTAATTCGATCATATGAAAATGTTGAACCGGGATTATTAACAGACGTATCAGTAAAATCATTAATCTCTCAATGGCTAATTGCAAACTGAATTCCTTTCATTGTTTTCATCACCCAGATAGTCATAGGACAATCCAGATTCCTTCACAAGAGCAATACTATTTATAGAATAATGTTACCATGGTTCGGCACCGGACTTCTTACCAGTACAGGTAATTCCCCTTAGAAAATATTTAAAAATACGCTAAACCACAGACGTGTAATCGAAATTACAATTCGCAGCGGCTAGTTAGATATAGTATACTTATTTTTCATTTTTCATACGCAGTATAAACATCATGTATTGACTGCGAATTTGTTTAGTCTATACAACTGTTAAAATATTCCGATATATTATAATTTCGCAAGATACGGAGACTAGATTCTAGACAACGAACATTTTGTTCATTATGTAACATGAACTATCTCTCGTTTTTTTGTTAAGCGAAAACAAATAAATACGGGATATGCTAAATAAAAATGCAATAAAAGAGGCGCGATTATCGTTCGATTTACATATAGATCGCAAGTGGCAGACTCGCAGGAAGATACTAACTCCTGCCTTTCACTTCAATATGCTCCGGGAATTTACGGACGTTTTCATCCAAGAAGGGGAACGGTTGGTCGGAAAACTAAAGAGCGAAGGAAGGCCTGTTGTTAAAGATCTGAAGATGTTGATCAGCGAGCACACTTTGAATATTATTTGTGGTAAATCAAAATGAATTCGTATTCTTAATTGTTGGTCAATTGAATTTTTTGACTGAGAGACAATACTCGAAGAATGTAGTAACAGCTGCTTGATACTTCCTTTAGAAACTGCAATGGGAACGTCTCTTATTGATAAAGGAGACTTTCAATTTAAATATCGCAAAGCCGTGCACGATGTGGGAAACAGTATGCTGTATAGGTAAAGAATGTGAATGCGCTCTCTTGTGTACCATAAAGTACGCAAACGATATTCGGATGTCTCTATTTATAGATTATTTAGACCATGGTTGTGCATCGACTTTGTCTTCTTCCTTACTCCTGTAGGGATGCTACAGTCTAGACTACTCAAAATATTACATGGTTTTACGAAACAGGTAGCGGCATGATTTTTATTTCGAATACTTAAAATATCAGTGGTGCAATATGGGACCTAATATATTACAGATCATTAAAGAACGAAAGGAGTACCACGATAAAACCAACGTACGATATCTAGCTGATTTGGACGGCAATGCGAACGAAGAAACTGATGACATGACATGCAGTAGTGCGTTATGCAAACGATTAATCGTATTTAACTACTGGTACTTACGACTTAAATGTTTGTTTGCTTACAGTTCGCAAAAAGAGGCTTGCCATGCTCGATTTACTTTTATCGGCTCATCGACACAATCTAATAGACGACGAAGGCATTAGAGAAGAAGTCGATACGTTTATGTTCAGAGTGCGTTTGCGCCTTTCAAACAAAATTATCTTTATCACAATAGACTTTGTATTCTACTTTTGCAATTTTCAACAGGGACACGATACTACGGCTATATCCATTTGTTTCACTATAATGCTTTTGGCTGAACATTCACAGATTCAGGTAACTTCTCAAACGGAGTATAAAGGGAAACGTTTAATCCATTTCGCGACAACGTTCTCAGGATCGAGCCAGAACTGAGGTGAAAGAGGTAATGGAAGCGAGCAACGGGAAGCTAAGTATGTCTGATCTTCAAAAATTACCGTATCTCGAAATGTGCATCAAGGAGTCGCTAAGACTTTATCCAAGTGTGCCTTTGATATCCCGTGCTCCAGAGGAGGACGTGACGTTAAGTACGCGTCGAAATCTCTTCTACAGTTTCTTATTTTCGGTTTATTAGATAACCGCGAATCTTGTGCTATTTTTAGGTAATTATCTAGTACCTGCTCACAGTACAGTGTCCGTGCACATATACGATACTCACAGAGACCCGACGTTCTGGCCAAACCCGGACGTCTTTGATCCGGAACGGTTCACGCCTGAAAATTGTCGTGGACGACACCCGTACTCGTACATACCTTTCAGCGCCGGCCCAAGGAACTGTATCGGTAAGGAAACTGATTAAGAAAAACATTCGGGAATGTAGTTAAAAAAGTTGAATTTCTACAGGGCAAAAATTCGCCATGTTGGAACTGAAAGCAACCATGGCATACCTCTTGTTTAATTTCATTTTCGAGCCCATAGACTATCTTAAAGACGTCATTCTTTTACCAGACCTTGTTTTACAAACGGAACATTCTCTGCGAACTAAGTTCGTTCCGCTGCAGGTTGCTAGTTGATAAACGTCACGAAATGAGTATTTAGTACAGGATTCGGATTTGGTTGATTCGTTTTATTTGTAAGGACATGATAAAAGAGTTAAGTTGACGGTCATTTCTAATAGACGAATAATGTGAAGAGAGTTAAGTTGACGATCATTTTTAATAGATGAAGTAGGATTATAATGTACAGATACAAAATTTATATTCTGAGCAGATAGTTTGCTAGATAAAATGTTAATCACGCACTAAAAAATGAATTAAGAATAAAAACGATACACAATTAACGAGTTATTTTCTTACCTTCATCATCGTCATCGTCGCCTCCTTCCTCTCCTTTACCTAATCGCTTATCGGTTAGTCGTTTACCTAATTTACGATCATAGAATTATTTAATTATAGTTATGTCTTCTGCAGATGTGGCATACATAGAATAGAAATTCTTAAAAGCTACACGATGTTTTTTTCTCTTTACTTTGTGTGAAAATAAGGACACTTAAGTATTGGAAGTGAAGAAGCGCGGAGCGGCCCGAAGACAAGGAGCCGTCAGGTAGCAACATGCCCGTCGATTACCGTGTATCCTTATGTACACGTAAATTCGACAATTTGAAGTTGTTTTGTTAATATAATTGTACTTCTTGCAACTTATCAATGGTTTAAGATTATTTCATAATCACGATTCTCCCACCGTTCTGCGAAGCAATCGTATTCATCATTTCTGCAGGCATGCAGCAGCTATACATATGTATGGTATTAAACAATTATACAACATGAAATTGGAAGTAGAAATATGTATAGACAAATCAATCGTAAATCGAAAAACATTCTTATATGTAGTAAGAGACTATTTATATGCTGTCGGATTCTGTGAAAGTACTTTCCGACGAAGGCTACTTATCAGGCCAAAGAAAACATGCACTGCTATGTCTTTACTTTCTTAACTTAAGGAGGTTCTACCGCTAATGGATTAAACATTCAGAAGTTGATGTAAATTTACACACTCGTCAATAATACCTTCATAAAGGTACAGTCAAATTTTGGTGAAGTTTCAGAGCTCCAAAACTGAGAAATAAATTATTACACTTTTCCAATTTTTACATTGACTCTTATGGAAAGACACGTTATTTTCGTAATATCTAATGAACAAACATTGAGATTACTTTGAAAAAATTTGTAGTGATAGAGAAGTAAATAAAGAAGATATAGCTGCTTCGAAGAATGTAGTTCAGAGCTTAGAACAATTATTAAAAATAAATAAGAGAGTATGATTTTCATCGAGGATTGAACTTCAGAAGATTTGACTACGTCGCACTCCGTAGACGCATACTCGGGCATACGCTATCTCTCTCACTCAGCTCAGCAGTCAGTCACAATACAGAGTATACGTATAATAACATACAGCGCGGTGTTGTCAAATTTTCGAGTCGGACTACGGAAGTCAAGCACACGCCGCTAGCTATCAGACAGCAGTACAGCTTTGACTAGCTATGTATCGGTAGAACCTCCTTAAATAATGTGCGTAGTTATCTTCACATAGTATGTTATTATGATTATATAATTAATTAAAAAAGAGGACCAGCTAGCACTGTGCGACGACGGTATCTAGAAAGTAGCAGACTCAGATAATTATAATTATTATATTATGTATATTTACGAATTAACAGGAAACGGCTCAGCAGTGTTAACTCTTATCTAATCAGTTTTTGCTTCAAATCTATCCGTCATAACAATATTTAAATCTACGCAGAGTTTCGAAATTTACTTCAGTATAAATACTTATATTCGCTCTGGCAGACAACATTAATTTCGTACACGGGTAGAGAAACAAGTGTCCGTTGACATTTAATAATATTCGAAATCGTGCTCTTCTTAATAATCTATTTTATTAATTAATTTTTTCGTTTTAACATATAAGGTGACCGAAGAGTTGAAAGTTCATGAAGCACTTAAACAGTTGACGTATTTTGTGAACAATTATCTACTTTTAAATAGCGCCTTATTCATTCGAGTGTTCGTGAATTCTCCGAAAGCTATAAAGAAATATAAAGAAAACTCAAGAAATGATTACCACGATTTTATTGCTAATACTTCTCGCGATCTGTTTTCATTACTACCTGCTGCATTTCGGTAAATATGGGAGGGTAATTAACTTGATACCTGGCCCACAGCCTCTGCCCATTTTTGGAGACCTTCTAGATTTTTGCATTTCACCATGTAAGATACGTTTGCATTAACGAATACGTGTAAAAAAGAATATTCAAGTCGCATCTCGCAACTTTTCAATTTGTTCGGACCATTGCAGCTAAGTTATGGGAGCATTTAAGGAAACTGAACAAGCAGTACTATCCCATATTCAAGTTCTGGAACGGTTGGGAAGCTTACATAAATATTCGCCATCCGGACGACATCGAGGTAGCAAAAATTCAATTATACAAAAATATTGTACCAGTATTATTGATAAATGTATCAGTAAAATGATTAATGTCTCAATGACTAGTTGCAAACTGAATTCCTGTGATCATTTCATTGTTTTCATCACGTAGACAGTCATAGGACAACCTAGATTCATTCAGAAGAGTAATGCTGTATATGGACTAATGTTACCATGGTTAAGCACCGGACTTCTTACCAGTGCAGGTAATTCCCTTTCGAAAATATTTAAAAGACGTCTAACAGAAATTCCAATTTGCAGCGGCAACTGAGATATATACTTATCTTTAATTTTTCATACGCAGATATGAAAATGATGTAATAATTAAGAATTTGGTTTATCTTCACAACTATTAAAATATTCCGAGATGTTATACTTTCGCAAAATACGGAGACTAAACTCTAGATAATGAACTTTTTATTAATTATGTACTGTGAAGTATATCTCGTTTTTTTGTTAAGCAAAAACAAATAAATACGGGATATGCTAAATAAAAATGCAGTAAAACAGGCGCGATTATCGTTCGATTTACATATAGGTCGCAAGTGGCAGACTCGCAGGAAGATACTAACACCTGCCTTTCATTTCAATATGCTTCGGGAATTTACGGACGTTTTCATCCAAGAAGGGGAACGGTTGGTCGGAAAACTAAAGAGCGAAGGAAGGCCTGTTGTTAAAGATCTGAAGATGTTGATCAGCGAGCACACTTTGAATATTATTTGTGGTAAATCAAAATGAATTCGTATTCTTAATTGTTGGTCAATTGAATTTTTTGACTGAGAGACAATACTCAAAGAATGTAGTAAGAGCTGCTTGATACTTCCTTTAGAAACTGCAATGGGGACGTCTCTTATTGATAAAGGAGACTTTCAATATAAATATCGCAAAGCCGTGCACAAAGTGGGAATCACTATAATGCATAGGTAAAGAATTTGAATGCGCTCTCCTCTGTATCATAAAGTACGCAAACGATATTCGGATGTTTCTTTTTATAGATTATTTAGACCATGGTTGTACATCGACTTTGTCTTCTTCCTTACTCCTGTAGGGATGCTACAGTCTAGACTACTGAAAATATTACATGGCTTTACGAAACAGGTTGCGGCACGATTTTTATTTCGAATACTTAAAATATCAGTGGTGCAATATGGGACCTAATATACATATTACAGATCATTAAAGAACGAAAGGAGTACCACGAGAAGACCAACGGTCGCTATCTAGCTGATTTCGACGGCAATGCGAACGAAGAGACTGATGAGATGACATGCAGTAATGCGTTATGCAAACGATTAATCGTATTTAACTACTGGTACTTACGACTTAAATGTTTGTTTGCTTACAGTTCGCAAAAAAAGGCTTGCCATGCTCGATTTACTTTTATCGGCTCATCGACACAATCTAATAGACGACGAAGGCATTAGAGAAGAAGTCGACACGTTTATGTTCAAGGTGCGTTTGCGTCTTGGAAACAAAATTATCTTTATCAAAACAGACTTCGTATCCAATTTTGCAATTTTCAACAGGGACACGATACCACGGCTGCATCCTTATGTTTCACTATAATGCTTTTGGCTGAACACCCACAGATTCAGGTAACTGTCCAAACGAAGAATAAACGAAAAACGAAGAATAAACGAAAAAACGTTTAATACATTTTACGATAACGTTCTAAGGGTCGAGCCAGAGCTGAGGTGAAAGAGATAATGGAATCGTGCAACGGAAAGCTAGGTATGACTGAGCTTCAAAAATTAACGTATCTCGAAATGTGCATCAAGGAGTCGCTAAGACTTTATCCAAGTGTGCCTTTGATATCCCGTGCTCCAGAGGAGGACGTGACGTTAAGTACGCGTCGAAATCTCTTCTACAGTTTCTTATTTTTGATTTATTAAAAACCGAGAATCTTTTGCTATTTTTCAGGTAATTATCTAGTACCTGCCCACACTGTAGTGAATGTGTACATATACGATAGTCATAGAAACCCGAAATTCTGGCCAAATCCAGATGTCTTTGATCCGGAACGGTTCACGCCTGAAAATTGTCATGGACGACACCCGTACTCGTACATACCTTTCAGCGCCGGTCCAAGGAATTGTATCGGTAAGGAAGCGGATTGAGGAAAAACATTTGGGAATGTAATTAAAGATGTTGAATTTCTACAGGGCAAAAATTCGCCATGTTGGAACTGAAAGCAACCATGGCATACCTCTTGTTTAATTTCATTTTCGAGCCTGTAGATTATCTTAAAGACGTCATTTTTGTACAAGATCTTATTCTACAAACGGAACATTCTCTTCGAACTAAGTTCGTTCCGCTGCAGGTCGCTAGTTGATAAACGACACGAGATGAGCAATTAGTACAGGATTCGGATTTATTTGTAGGAAGCACGATAAAGGAAGTGAGCTAAGTTAACGATCATTCTTAACGGATGAAATAGGAAAACAATGTACACATACAGAATTTACATTCCCAGTCGTCGAAAGTTCGCTACATATAATGTTGATCTTTTAGTGAAAGATGAATTAAAAATAAAAATGATATACACTTAACGAGTTCATTTGTTACCTTCATCGTCATCATCATCGCCTCCTTCCTTTCATTTACCTAATCACTTATCAGATAGCCATTTACCTAATTTACGATGGTTGAATTACTTAATTACTGCGCTCGCGGTCTCGGGATGAAGAAACTGGAAGAAACCCTTTCGTTCTTATCATATACACTATAGATGGGCAGCAGTCGCCTTAAGGAGGATTCCCACTAATCGGCAATAGTCGGTGTAATTCTGATTAAGAAATTAATGGAAACGAAATTTGGCATTCTTATTTCGCTATACTTGACCAAACATGATCTAAAGCATCGATCACGCATTACGCATTTTCGAGTCTAATTTATTGTAGAAATGCATAATTCTGATTAATAAATTAATAGAAATGCATCTTAAAATTTTTATTTCGCGATCCTTGAATAAATATAATCCAAAGCAGCGATCATGCATTACTTTGTTCGGTAAAACTACCGAAGCGGAAAACGAAAACATAACATTGTCTACATGAACATCTATTGAAATCAATTTCCTCTGTTTCTAATTTATTCATCTCTAATTTATTGTAAATATATTGAATAATTCTGATTAATATATTAACCCCTTGAACGACAATTTATTTTCAGTCATCACTTGAAAAAGAGGAAAGTTTATGACGAGCTGGACTCGTCATTTCCGTTCAAGGGATTAATGGAAATGAATATTAGCATTTTTATTTCGTGTTCCTTGACCAAATGACTAATGCCTGTTTTCGAAGTACAATTCTTGTCGACGAAAACCGTCGAGCAATAGCTCATTCTCCTTACGCTTGTTACGATGGAATCACTGGTAATTTTCTCTCTGTCGATAATTCAAGCAGCCGCCTGAAGTTGGTTCGATGTAGTCGATAGTATCAGAGATTTGACTAAAAGTACCGTTGGCTACTATCGACTAAATCGATAGATTTCAGTCGATGGTGCCCATCACTATAGTCGGTGTCGGTCTTATTTAAGTCTAGGGGAAACATAATTAGGAAAAAATCACTACAATAGATCTATGAACTCAAAATATTTTCCAGAAAATGAGGGACAATATTTTTTAGAAAGTAAGATTGATTTTGGTAATCAGGGGTTGATGAAAGTTTTGCTACTGCACATTTAAATATTTTTCAAGAAAATAAATTAATTATATATCATGCATGCTGTTGCCTAGAGACATATTTCTGTCTCATCTCTATCCTAACTACTACCCGAGGTCAGAAACGAGATAGAATAAGTCTTCTCCAGGCAAACAATAAGTGCACGTGAGTTTGCGTCATCACAGAATCAAGTGCGTTGTTATAATAATTTTTATAGTAAAACGAGAAGTGTTGAACAACAGGCTCCTAAAGATTTGTTCTTAAAAAGTGGCGCGTTGGAAAATTATTTACGTGGATAATACTGACTTATATGAAAACGAAATTACTGTTGCAGAGATAGATATTTCTGTTTCATCTCTATCTTAACTGAGACGGAATGAGACGGAGTAAGTCCTCTTCCTAGAGTAAGTTCCCCTGTACGTTTATATATAGCGAGTGTCACTCCATAGTATATAAGTATATGATGTATATATAAGGTCTAAGTTACAGAGGCGGAGAATGACAGTTCCATGGGCAAGTAGTGTACGTAAGTGTACGGAGTATGTGCGAGTACTTATCGCGCTGTCAATTAATCCACGTGATGGTCGAAAATTGATGGTTACTTTCATAATTTTTGCGTTCCGTTCCATCGAACGTGACTCGGAGTTATTTGATTCCCGAGTTCCTCGCTCGGTGTCATGACTGGGTGTCATGGACAATGAAGGGAAACCGATTCGCGTGGATATATGCACGAACCGGAGGTACCTAAGCACAAAGTGAATTTCTATCGTTACGCGGCTATGACCCGTTTCTCGTGAGGGAGTGTTCCTCGAGATAATTGTAGAATGCCCCACGATTAACGCGACGACGTGTTTACCGTTCGACGATTTCGTGTTTAAAGACTGTCGCTCGACGAACAGTGCAGCGGGAAATTCTAAAATTACGTCATTATCATTCCATTCCGACGGATACCATTAATGGAATCGTATTTACCATTATCAGAAGTTGGATAGAGAATGCTTATTAAATGACCTCACACTCCCCGTGACCAACATTAACGACGCGATGGAAAAATTCGCTATCGATTTGGACAAAGTTCTGGACGATTTCGAATTTAATGAAGGTAAAAGACTGTCATTTTACTGTCAAATCTATCGGTGATTCAATGTGGTTCAAGGATCGCAACTTGAATCTCCCGGTAGCACAAACGCTCACAATAGAATCAGTTTTGTTATGTATTTTATGTATAATTATCAGTGCAATGTATTCACTTTCTAGATTGTGCAGAGCAAATAGCATCTGTGAATCCCTCGACAAACAATGCGTCATCATCTTCTGTCAAATGTACTTTGGAGCCGTCAACATTGAAAAGTTATAATTACCTCCTAATAGAGCCAAAAAAAGCGAATAAGGAATTCGACGTTATATTACCAGTGGACAGAACCAAAGATTCACAGCAGATAAGCACAAGGAATAAATGTGTCAGTGAACACGATGCGATCCCTGACAATTTCAATCACAGCGCAGAGAACACCACAATACAAACTACAGATGTTAATCAATTTTATCCAGAAGATAGCACAAACGATAACAAGTTGATACATAAACAGTCCATCTCGTCGTACGAGTCTGAACAGGTCCCACTGACCGTCTACAATGACATATCTCAAAAATACATGCAGAAACAACAGAATGGCAACAATAGCCCAAAGATTGACAATAGGTACGACAAGAAGCTGAATCAATTCAACCTGAAGCCTAGTGTTAGCAACGTCTTCAGCAGTCTGAACGAGTACATCAACACTCCACCAGGAAGCTCGGATTGTATTCGTTCTATGTTAGATGAGCAAGAGATACAATCTAATTTAGAGCCGAAATCCATTTATCATGGGAATGAAGTACCTCAGTTAATCCAGAGCACTAGTAAAGATAGCGATAAGATTATAGTGCTTAAACAGATAATTGATGTAGCTGATTCAACTAGAGAAGCGTCTGGTCCTATACATGTCGCAGTGCCAGTACCATTACCATTAGCTTTACCTGTCCCATATGAATCTAATATAAAGGAAGACGTTGCAAAGAACGTAACGAATCTCGAATCGTTAGAAGGTGAGGAGCGTCCGAAAAGCATTGAGGTACAGGAAGTTTGCACAGGATTGGATAATAAAACGGAAATTAAAAATGAGAACGTTATTGACTATAATTGTGATGCAGCTAAAGAAAATGACTCCAGATTTGAGTGTGGTTCCATTCAAGATTTTAGTTCTGAGAATAAGGTGAAGGAAAATGAGGAACAAACAAGAAAGGAAAACACAGATGCATTTAAGGAACACGAGAACAGTTCGAATCCGAAACAGATTGGATTTAGTAATATCAGTGATATATCAGAAGATGAGTTGACTAAATATTTAACTGAGTTGGAGGAGGAAGAGAAATTAAAAGAAAGTTGTAATAAACAGGAGAATATCGTGAATAAATCGCAGAATGATTCTCATAATGAAAAGGATGAGAATAAGCAAAGTTTTCATATTTTTTCAAGTACCGTCATAGAACCTTCGAATATGCTAGAATCTGAATTAAATGAAAGGGAGGAAAGCGTTTCGATAGTTGAATGTAAAAACGAGGAAAAAAATGAAGAAACGTTGAACGACGCTTCGGAGCAGCAAAATGTACAACGCGATGATCAAGTAAAGGAAGATAAACATATTTTAAATACTTTAAGTAGCAAAGAATTGAAATTGGCGCATGCAGTTAACGCGGATAGACAGGAGAAGATAAAGTTAGAAGGCGAATGCGTGGCTAATGTAAAAAGTGTTAAAGACAGCCAGGAGCATTCGATGTACAGTAGTTTAAATATTAATCAGGGATCATTGAATAACGGTAAAACCGAGCTGAAAGAGGAGGAAGGAAGTACCGATCAGGCTAGCGAATTGAAAAAGGCTTGCGACATTGATAACGAAGAGAAAAATGCAATAACATCTGATCTGAAAGTGTTCGGTGATAAGACAAAGCGCAACGATGATGTAATGTCCACGTCTGTAAATATTTCCGCGAGACCAAATGCATGCGATACTGGCGATGAATTGGAGAAGCCTGTTCGCCCACAAACGTTGGATATTGTTCTAACGAACAATAGCAATGAAAACCAGCCGCTTGGTTCTACAAGCGACACACCGTCGAGTCAAGTACAGCCGGATGCCGACGCTACGAAGGAGGAGCAGGGATCTTCGCCGGATATCTTAGAGAATTCGATATCGGAATCCGGCTCGGTTTTGGGGAAGCAACCGCCGTTCTGGGTGCCCGATAGCTACGCGCCCAGCTGCATGCTCTGTGATGTTAAATTTACAGTACTGAAAAGGCGACATCATTGCCGTGCATGTGGCAAGGTGTTGTGCAACAAATGTTGCAACATGAAATATAAATTACAATACCAAGGGAACATCGATTCGCGCGTCTGCGTTCCTTGTTACCAGCTTCTTACTAAAGGTAATTACCTCGGTTTGTACGATCTACTTCTTAAAGTACGGAGGACCTGTATTTTGTTTTCTAGCCGAAACGGAACAAAATGTGGGGGAATGGTCGTCTGGTTATTCAACTTGCATACATAATAATGATATCAATTCACCTCAGGTATGTTGAGTACTATTTTACAAAAGATTGTCCTGAATTTTCTTTAGATTGTACATTCCATTAATAAAAAGTTAAACTTCTAAGGGAGAAAGCGCTTTGAGTGTTCACCGATTCTTCTTTAACGAAGTTTTCCCATTTTCTAAAGCATCGAATGAAGTACCGAAACTGTTTTGAATTAACAAAAGCATATTGATTAGCGTGAACGTAACACTTTCAGAGCTTTCTTCGATATCACTATTTATATACCAATAATGAATAGTATACATAGCTTGCCACGTTTCTTTGATTTTGATATAGCATTGAACGAATTACCTACAACTGTTTATAAATCTTTTGTTTCATTAATCCTATTCAGTTGTTTGTGAAAATAACAACATAAAATATTATGCTGTTAAATTCATATGAATTTACAATGTATACTTAATTAATTTTTGTTCAATTAAACAATTTCTTAATCTGTAATATGGAAAACAGCACATTTACAATGGAACCTTGTAAGACACACCAATATTTTATACTTGATACATCGTACTATATATTTTACTAATTCATTTTTATTTATATAACACGTGAGCGTAAATTTCAATAAATTCGACTTTGTAAATTAGATACTAAGCTTTATGATCACCTATAACAACTTGTTGAATACTTCCACGTTATTATTTGAGACTAATTTCGACAATTTCTGACAGAAGTTCTATTATGATTTATTTGTATAAAGCAATCAATTTTATACTTTCTCGCAGCGTTGTGTTCCCTGTACATACAATAGATACTTATTTTGCATCGTAAAAGCATGTGTTTGAATAGTAGCATTACTTGTGAAAATTTACCTCGCCTGCTTTAACTTCTAATAGTAGTTAAAATCTAGTAAATACAGAGAGTAAGTTGTACATTTGTTGATAATAGCTGCTTGATATTCTGCATTTGATTTCATTGAAGTACATTCTTTACTACTCTCTTGAGTTTTCTTTTTTTTAAATGAAAGTTCTTTTTAATTATGAAAGGATCTTAATAGATAATTTGTAGAGAGAGAGTTATGAACCAAACTAGAAGAGCACAATGATACTACCTTGACAAAGTTTAATCAATAAACTATGCTACACTTTATTTGATTTGCATGATCTGTACTTATTGGATAAAAAAGTTAGATGTAAATGTTCGGAGTATTCGACAAATGGTTATAGGGGAGACAGCCTAATCCAAATAATCCCATGGAGTACTGTTCAACTATACCACCCTTGCAACAGTTAGCCGGCGGACTGCCTCCACCTCCAACCGTCATGGTACCAGTCGGAGTCCTTAAAAGGGAGGGCGGCACGAAAAATCGGCCTGAGATCTCGAAATCTGTTATGTTCAGTGATGGTAGGTAAAAAGAACTCTTCATATTGTAATGATATTTGGATTTGTGGCAATAAAAAAGAAACGAAATGCGCGTCTAAAAATGGATTGGCGTGTTGGATTTTCTTACAAGTTAATGTGCTTCTTTTAAAAATCTCTTACAAACGATTTGCAATTTGATTTTATTTGAAAAGACTTTACTTTTGCTTGAACATGAGGACTTTGCTTTGCACTGTTAAGAGAGCTTTCTGGCGATTAATGATTGACATGAGAAAAATGATGCGACGATTTGAAATACTTTACTCTTTAACACACACACACACACACCCTGCTCTTGTGTCTTTGGTTTTTTCAGTTGAATTGAATCTCTCCTACGTCCAAGTGCATTATTACTTTTTTATTTCCCTTTAAGATATCTCACCCCTTTCACCGGACCCGTTCCCTCCTGTTTGTTTTGGTTTTATGCACCTCTAACTAAAACACAGGAATAAGGCCTGGCTGTGACCTGACAGAACTAGACATGTCCTGGGACTTGAGACCGCCGTACCGGAAGTCAGGGAGCAAGAGGATACCGACGCCCGGCTCCTCCGTACCAAGTACATCAATCAAGAAGCAAAACCTACCACGTATGGACCCGAGCACTGACAGCTACGTACCGCAAGATCCTAATGCTCTCCCGCCAACCGTAACGATACACAAAGGACGTGAGTAACGAATCTCATCCCGCAAACGATTTATTGTTAAATATAATTTCTCTAAAAATCCAGAGGTATCGTATCATGCTGTCACGGACGAGGATCTCCTTTACAAAATGCTGAAGAACGAATGTGAGCCGCCTGTTATGTTTGCGATCAATCGGAATCTGTATGCATACGTAAAAATAGTAACTCGTAAGTGAAATGAGATAAAGTTCGCTTTAATAAAAGCGAGCGCAAGTTTAATTGAACTAATTAATTTCAGTGAACTGCTGCGTGAATAAGACATGTTGGAACGTAACGTCCAAAGGATTGGACTGCGTTGGTCAAGATGAAATTATACTATTAATCGAAGTACTGCCTGAGGAAACCCGGGTTCCCAAGGATCTCCTCCTTTTTATCAACCAGTTATTCCTCGAAGCTACCAAAGGTACTTTACTCTAAGTAATTTATTTTTACTTTTAACTAATCTAATAACAATTTCATTAATTTGCAATTCCACTATAGGGAATACCGTGACCGAGCTGGGATTCTCGATATACCAAGGAGGAAATTTTATGGATTCTCGTGAACACGCGGGATTCTTATTTATACGCCAGACATTGCAGTGCTTACAAAAAATCATATTACCACCCGCGCCTTACTTATTCGGTCTTTTAGTTCACAGGTTCGTTTTCTCAAGTCTACAATTCATACTTTATATTTATTGTATTTTTGCTCGAGCATGTATCTTCGCTCTTCAGGTGGGAAACTCCATGGGCAAAGGTATTCCCTTTGCGCCTGGTTCTACGTTTGGGAGCGGAGTACCGTTATTATCCTTGCCCGCTATTTTCCGTACGCTTCCGGGACGCGTTGTATTTCGAAATAGGACACACGGTGATGAAGGTTCTAGCAGATTTCCGAAACTTTGCGTATACGTTACCAGGCGTGAGGGGTCTTACCATTCATTTGAGGAATAGAATGACGGACGTGATGTTCCCGAGGAATCGATACGATCAAGTGATCAAAGGATTGAACAATTCGAATGATCACGTATTAGCGTACGCTTCGAATTTTAGCATCGCCGCCGATTCGCATCTGGTTTGCATACAAACGAACACCGGCGACGAAAGCACTTATCAAACGCAGGCAATAAGCATCAACAATAATCCGAGAACGAGTATGTACCACGAATTAGGCGTCAAACCTATTTTCTCTTCGATTAATTTCAAACAATTCTATGAACACAGTAACGGGTACGAGCTTTATCGTCATTAACGGCGCGTTAAAATCGTCGATGGGTCTATCTGCGAAGTCGAGCATAGTCGAGGACGGATTGATGGTAGAGATAATGCCGGAGAAAATGGAAGCGTTAAAGGCGGCGTTGAAGAATATGCAAGATTTCTCTATTGGCTGCGGACGACAAGGTGCACCCGAGCCAGATGAAACTGTGAATATAAAGTGGGTCGGGAACGATGTACAGTTTAACGTAGGGTGAGTATTCTTATCACGACATCGATTAATGAGTTTTCTGGATCAAATATTTAATTGTCTGATTTCAGAGTTAAGAGTCCCATCGACGGGCAACCGATGGACGGCGTCCCTTCGATCAGAGTTCATAATGGTATCGATTACAAGGGAACGAGTAGATTTATCCGTTGGACGGAAGTATTTATTATCAATGTACGTTTCCGGCGTTACGTTGAGATCTGTTTTGAAAATCGGGCACGAACTTTCGCACGAATAATATACTACTAATATGATTGTGATTCTCTGGTATACATGTAATTTAATTTTATTATTATTTCATTAAATTTAAAGTCTGATGATCATCCGAATGGAGTTTACGACCCGGTGGATATAAATAAATTATCAGGGAACATAGCGAAGGCGACGTGTACAGCTTTAGTCAAACTGTTGGATCTGCTAGCGAACGCTGGGTTAACGAAACTTGCTGTAAGGACAACCATCCATCCTGATAACGTAAGTGCGCCGTATCAGTAGGAATAAGAGATTCGGAGAGAATAGAAATCTAATTGAATCCTAATGACACCAGGTGGGTTACGAGGCTGGTAGCGAAGGTATGAAATTGCCACCGATCTACATGAACAGTTTGGACAACGAATTGATTCAAGTGTTACATAAAGCAGCGCAGAATAGCCAAGACACACATACTGTACTTGAATTAATTTTTTACATACTCGACGATTGAGAACACCCACACCCGCTCAACTTGCTTTGTTAACGCGATAGAAATACGAAGATCGCGATGTTTGTACACCCTCGAAATGTACAATTAAAGGACACGTGGAACCATTGAAAATAAGTCGATCTTTTTAGGAGCGGAAAATATTTTCTATCCGTCTAACTAATAATCTTAATAGATTTAAAGCAAAGGAGCGGAGTTATCGTTACGATGATATATCGAATCACGTTCATATATGATTCTATAAGAAGGAATATCCTGTTCAAAGCTGAACAATGAAATTCACTTAACATTCTGTTAGCTTTAATACTTTGGGTTCTGGAACTCACATATGGTTTTCGCCTTTTTATAGAGAACGGGGACGCCGGCGGTAGATCACATTTTTGTATATTATATATAGATATAAATTTTATAAAGGAGGAACATAGATGGGAAATTTTTTGCGACTAAAATCAAAATGAAGTACCATTATTTGTTATCGTGTAAATATGTTTGTTTTGTTGTTATCCGTGTAATATGTGTATAACGATGGTTGATAGTATTTTTTTGTCGAGAGAATATTAAAGTATTAATCTAATAAATTGAAAGATTATTATTCATCTTTTTGTACAGTATTAACGAAAGGAATCTTTTAATTTTAAGGAGCAATTCCTTTTTATATTCGCGCATTAACACGTATACACGTTAAATACTTTTAATGTAGTAGTTAGAAAATCGTTATATTCTAATCAAGGATTTGAGGTTTAAAGCTAATTTAAGTATCACGACACAGGGGATCGTCTAATTTGTTTCAATGTGATTGTTATCGTCGTACACTGGAAATGAAATCGTCCATAGAATTCTTTTATGCTTAGCTTTGTCCTGCTCTGTGATTTTTCTATCGAATTTTTCTATTACGAGGTCGATTAAAAAAAACAAGACTACAATAGAAGGATTCTAAATATGAAGATCTAATGCAAGTAGGTTTATATAGTTACTAATGACACTGTGTAAATATGTACAAAACTGAGGATTATACTAAAAAAAAACTTATCAGTCGTCGCAAAAATTTATCGTTTACGTTATATCATTCTGATCTTATGTTTTAATTTTCTACCCTGACAAGCTCCATATGGATACTCCAGTTTTATATTTGTTCTATACGTTAGAATTTTACGGATGAACGGTATGTAGAAATAAATGTAAGCTTATTTAAACAAATGGAAGTTCGCGTGTTTCAACACGCAGCGCGGAGAATTTTATTCCCTCGCGCGTGTAGAACATGTTTAAAAATTGTGAGGTACAAAAATTATTATGACAGTCTATATACAAAATCGACAAGAAAATTGAAAATTGTAATTAAGGCATGCAGCGTTACCAGATGCGATTTTTGTCTCTTTTCGCGTGCTGACCCCCACTATACTGTATTTTTTTCCCGCTTACGTTGCCACTGTTACCAGTGGACATGCGCCTGATGCACCTACCGGCTTGCTACGTGATGTAGTTTAAAATATTCATAATATATTGATAAATATTCATATAATTCATAATAATAACATAATATATTGTCAAAATACGTCACGTAGTAAGCACAGTAAAGAAGCATCCCCACCCCACGTGAAGTTTCGCGTCAAGTCCGCGCGCGTTCACGTTGTGCATATGTATAGTGTGGTATAGTGCATATTTGCTTGTGTCCTGCTCGTGTCCATGCCTGTTGTAATTCGACTGAAAGTAGTAAGAGTGGTTAAAATAAATAAAAAATTGTTGCCTCGCGTCAGGTTCTCTTTACGAGGATTATATTTTAATTCATTGAATACTGTAAGAAGTATTGCGTGGGGTTCGGACAATATGTTAATGAACGGAACGTAGAACATATCAATTTTAGAACCTCGTGTCAAACAGAACGCAAGAGTTTCGTACATTAAAGTTCTGTGATAATAATTAAAATTAGTGTAGTGAATTAAAATTTAATTCAAAATGGGTAAAAAAGGGAAGATTGGAAAGCAGAGGAAGGATAAGTTTTATCAACTAGCAAAGGAAACTGGTAATTACTGTTTAACAATGTTACTATATTAAAGATTAAATGTTTTAATATAAAATACTTGTAGAATACTATTCGTTTTTATTAAGTATATTTTGTTATCGCCAGGGTCTATAATAGGTTATGTTTTATAGGTTATAGATCACGTGCTGCTTTCAAGTTGATTCAACTGAATCGAAAATTCGAATTCTTGCAAAAATCCCGAGTATGCGTAGATTTGTGTGCAGCTCCTGGAGGATGGATGCAAGTCGCCCGGCAGAATATGCCAGTATCTTCTATAGTAATAGGAGTCGACTTGTTCCCTATAAAAACTATACCAGGGTGTATCAGCCTGGTGGAAGATATCACGACAGATAAATGTCGTGTATCCATAGCTCGTGAATTGAAAACATGGAAAGCTGATGTTGTACTTAACGATGGGGCACCGAACGTTGGTAAAAGTTGGGTACATGATGCATATCAACAAGTCGTCTTAACTTTAGCTGCACTCAAGATGGCAACATATTTTTTACGACCGGGTGGTTGGTTTATCACAAAAGTTTTCCGCTCGAAAGATTACAACCCACTGGTTTGGGTACTAAAACAATTGTTTCGAAAGGTAATATTTTATTCATTATAAATTGACTTAATTTTTATTCAAAATGAAATTCAAGTGTTTATAGTTTTAGTTTAAAAATTGTATTCTTAATAGTCATTTCTTTTATCATACAAGCAGTGTAACAGGCACTTCTAATATTTTGTAATCTTTCTGAACATGTCAAACATTCTTTATATTCACTGCTGATACTACTGAACATTTCCTTGACCATTTAAAAATTGAATTACTTATTCAGTGTTGTGCTTTTGATATTCTGAATTGTTTTATAGAATACGTTTATCATTCCTGCACATTAAATTTTCTTATAATTGGACAAAATCCGCAGTCTTGTTATAAGATACGGATCACAATTTATTTCGTTAGTATTTAAATTTATATGTTTTATTCAAGGTACATGCAACTAAACCTCAAGCATCGCGTACTGAATCTGCTGAAATTTTCGTCGTCTGCCAGTATTACATCGCTCCGGACAAATTGGATCCGAAATTCTTAGATCCAAAATACGTTTTCTCTGAATTAGAAATAGAATCTGCGAATAAATTGAACGTCTATAATCCTACTAAAAAGAAAGCTAAAGTGGAAGGTTACCCAGAGAACGATTACACTTTGTATCATTCGTTATCTGTTAAAGATTTCATAGCTCATGACAATGCTGTCGAAGCGTTGCAGAATGCTTCTGAAATTGTTTTCGACGATGAAACGATAGCGAATCATGAGAAAACGACTAATGAAATCAAGGAGTGTTGCAAGGATATTAAAGTGCTGGGTAAAAAGGATTTACGAAATTTAATGAATTGGTGGAAGGCAGTTAAGGAATCTCTGAAGAAGCCTGAGGTAGAGGAGGATGTGCCAGAAGATACGACAGAACCAGCACCCATGAGTCAAGAGGATCTAGAAGACTTGGAGGACGAACAAATTAGAAAACAAATTGAAGAGATTAGAGAAGAGGAAGCTAGAGATCTCAAACGAAAAAAGAAAAAGGTAAACAAGGAGAGGCAGAAACTGAACGAACGGCTGAATCTAAAAATGATTCACAAGGGAAACGAAGGTCCTGTACTCGAAGGGGATGATATGTTCAGTTTAAAACAAATACAATCGCATCAACAGTTAGAGAAGATAACAGATCAGAGCCCTGATCTAGTAGCTGAAAGTGATGCAGATTCGGACACGGAGAAACCAAAGCCGAAGAAGGTTTCTTATAAGAAGGATGAAGGGCATTTAGATAGTTCAGGTTTATATTATAAAACAGATGATAGCGAGCCGGAAGATTCAACTGATGTTTCCGATGATGATAGTGATAAGTCAGGTTTAGGTCTAAATGAATCTGACGATGAGGAGAGGCCACAGAAGAGGAACAAGTACCTTGACGATGATCCAGAGAATCCGTTGTTAACTGATTTAGATCAGAGGGACAAGAAAACTAAAAGGATTCACAAAGCAGAATTGTGGTTCGAGAAGGACGTATTCAAGAACTTGGAGGATGAAAAGGATGAAGATCTTGAGCTGGACAAGATGGTGGAAGAATACAAGAAAAAAGGTGGTCGTATAATAGGCGAGGGAGATGATGATAAAGAGAATAAAGTCAAGAAAAATATACAAGAAGAGGAAGAAGATGACGAATTGTCCTCGAGCGGTGATGACACAGATTCCGATTACGATGTTGAGAAGATGATGGCTCCGAACAAGAAATCCGAGAAGAATGCTAACAGTAAAGATAATTCAGTATCGCATACAAAGTCAAAGAAGAGGAAACGTTTAACGGAGGAAGAACTGGCATTGGGATCGCTGTTAGTTCAAAGCAAGAAAACTCGGAGGGACTTGGTAGATTCGGCTTGGAATAGATATGCGTTCAACGATGACAAATTGCCAGACTGGTTTGTAAAGGATGAAGATAAACATATGAAGAAAGATGCGCCCGTGCCTAAGGAGCTCGTCGACGAATACAAGAAACGTGTCGAAGATTTGGATGTTAGACCGATTAAAAAAGTAGTAGAGGCAAAAGCAAGGAAGAAGCGAAGAGCTTTACGGAAACTGGAGAAAGCGAAGAAGAAGGTTGAGGCTATAATGGATAATACGGAAATCAGCGACAGGGAGAAGACGAAACAAGTACAAGCGTGAGTAAAATATTTTATTTATTGTTCATAATACATAGGGTGTATCACGTGATCTATACATCTTAATTTTTCGCTATTGTTAGTTTAAAAGATATTTTATATACATGATTGATCATGGTTTCTGTGTAGCTTGTACAAGAAGGCTCATAAAGAACCGAAAAAGGATGTCACGTATGTCGTAATGAAGAAACACATGGCTCAGAAGAAAGCGGCGAGACCACCTGGCGTTAAAGGACGTTACAAATTAGTTGATCCGAGAATGAAAAAGGATTTGCGCGCAGCAAAAGCGAAAGAAAAAACTAAAGGGCGTGGAAAGAAAGGTCGAGGCGGTAAGCCGCCACGAGGAAAGCCTAAAGCGCATAAGGGCAAGAAATTAAAAAAGTAATTAGAATGAAATAAAGTATGAAACTTCATCGATCATTTACCCTTCGATTGCCCCAGAATTTAAGAACATTGCTATTATGCAGTAAAGATATGAGACGAGAATGCATGATGGATATTTTGTAAATAAAATATTTTGTACATAAACGTATGTACAAATTCTACGAAGATCGAAATTAAACAAGTTTTGTACATACGCTACAAATTTAATTGTATTTGTTATTTGGGATATTGTAACACACTGTGAACTGGTTGTAGAAATTGATGCAGCACATGTAGTCTGGTATAGCTTGAAATCCGACGATACATGTAGGCAAAATTCTACCACCCACCTGTCCAACTACGTGAAACCTCCCACCACGACCGGCTTTGAGTGTCTCTCCACCCCTCTCACACCTCTTCGGTAACGGCATCCTTCCTCGGTGTATTCCGTGCATCGAACATTCTGATGCAATCGCGGCCTGCGTATCGGCGGGACGCTGCGGTCGATGTCAAGGACAAGGCCAGTGGCATTTAGAAAAGATCGTTTTACGTCAACATCGTTCCATTGAAAGTGGCGTCGATGAAACTTTTTTCTGGCCCGACGCCAAAAATCGTATCATCCCTTTCCTGCTTTATCATTGACACTGCTCCTTAGAAAATGTACGTATACGTATACATATGTACGATACGATTCATTGGATTCCTGCATTTTTATATCGCGCATCCTTCTTGTTTTCAGTTATCGTCAATTTTAATCATCGTCCGATAGTTACCTAAGCGTTCTCCTTAATTGGCAGGAAATACTTGCCATGATGTAACGCAGAGGCGACCCGTTGGAGCGGTCGATGTCAAGGCCGAGCTTTACTGACAACGTAGATTTCATAATACGATGAAATTCAGTTTCCCTACAGAGCAACCGACGCAGAACCGATAAGAGGTTTGTAAAACGATCATTTATACATTGTGTGTATATTGCAATACTTGTTATACGCTCGTTCTAATGTGTATATGAACATCATTTAAACGTTATCTGTTCGTTTCTGCTTGTTTTCATCGGTTCCGCGGTGACAATTTTAGAAAGACGGTTTAAATTTAAAGGGCACGTTGATAGATCACGGGCGTGGTAGTATCCACTTGTTCCAATTTGCTTACCGCGAGCCAAGTTTGCATTCGATGCCAAACACTTGTAGGCGCTGTAACGATGCTCGTAAATGTTTACGGTGCACTGGCGCCAACAAAATACTTTCGATTTTTAGAATTACGTATATACCTACTTTCTTCCACTATTAGTACAGCTCTTGTTGGCATAGAGAACGTTCGTGAATCTAAAATATTTCGAGTCATGCGAACAAATCTCGTAAAGAGCGTTTTGCACTTCGGCTCGGTGCTGTTGCCTCACTTTGCGTAATACTGCTCGCCTATTATACTAGTTCTAATTTAACGCCTGAGGTGTGAATGGTATTAAAAGAGCAGAAGGGAATTCATGTTATGAAAGAAAGCTCTAAATATATGCTCGGGTTATTGACTCGTTCAGTACGCCGTCTGCAAATATCAGATTTAAAGGTGAACTTGGTAAATCCCGGAACCTTGAACCGACCCGCGATGCCTTTATAACTCGGGTTAAAATTATGACGAGGAATTGCGCCAGGAATACCCACAATTGAGAAATCAACAGTACAGCAAACGAGAAACGTAGTTGCTGAAACCTTTTTTCAAGCCGTATTTTTAAGGACAGGAATTTTCAAATTGATAACACAGTCTCCCTTTAAATTATAGCGTTCTTTTTTTGAAATGAACAATTGACACTTTACTCGGTCGAGTTCCCCAGCTTAGGATCCTTTATGAAAAGTTGTCGATGCTTCTGTGTACATATCTTTCCGCGGTTGGCGCTTACGTCAAGGGCGACCTCGACTTTTCACCGTCTCTAATCTGTACGAGAATCGTTCGCGAAACAAGCATATTATTTCCACTGTGTGTAACTCTAGATAGGAACGGATAAGCCTTAGAATTTTGTAATCTTTTTATGACACCAATTTAATCGGTACGACATCATCTGGTAATTGATATTATTTTACATAGCAGTATCATTCATTAATTTATTCCTCGTTTTCATTCTATCGAATACTCTCAATTACTTGGTTAGTAAGACTTTAGAAGATTATAGGCTTGTTAAGCAAGAATAAGAACGATTAAAATTCTTCGTGATCTTACTTTGCTTAATAAAGTAAGTTCATTGAATTGTTCAATCAAGGAAAGCTTCAAATTTCCCATTGCTACGATTATGTCCACGTATTGAGCCTTCAAATTGCACGTCTCCTCTCGCAACCTTTATTGTTATTTCCGTTCGAAACCTTGAATCACGAAATCAGAAGTCAGGGATCGAACGACCAACGGTCTATCGCGGCAAATACTTTTGTTGATAACAAATCATCAGTTATATTAATAATATATTCAATTCGTGCAACACGTGAGCGTACGGTCAGGTGGTATTTCAATGGAACGTTCGATTCCAATGTGCACCTCTCGTTGCGTGTAATTAGAACGAAGTAAAGGGGACGGGCGCGTGAAGTGAAATCGAGATATAGGAAAAACGATAAGATGCTGCAGGGTAGAGCGGCCGGGGTGGACGCGGCGAGACAAGGGCTGACGCGCGGTAATTGAGAATCGTTAACGCGTCCTTGAGGGAGATCGAGCGGTTGGATTTTGCTAAATTCTCCTGTCTTGCTCGTAGCCATCGGTTATCGTTTCTCTCTCACTCCTCTCTCGTCCCGGTTTTCTGGCCACCGATGATGTTGGTGGCCTTCAACCGTTCAGGAGTGGATGGACCTCGTTGGCCAGCGGGCCGAGGTATAAGGTCGAGGTTGCCGCTGGTGTGTGCACGGGATATGCGACCTCCGGATGCATCGAGCGAGATGCGCGCGCAGCGAGCTCATGCGCGTTTCTCAGCCGGTTAGTTGTGCGTCGCAGCATGTCGGGCGGGCGGTCGAGCGCAAGTCATTGTCAAGGTCTTCTCTGGTCACGGGCAAACCGTTATAAGTAGCGATGGGCACGAACCAAGACGCAGTTTCTCGACTGTGTGAGTAAATGATCGATACAGATTTACTCTTAATACGTCTTTCTTTTCTTCGAAAGACGATGCTTGAACTATAATACATTCCATTTGTTCTTAATTGTATATTGCATACATACTTTGAAATTAACCTCTATATAAAGATATTATCGGGTAACTTGATTACAACATGAAAGTTAGTATGGCGTCTATTAACAGGAGTCGATACACGACTTCTAATAATGACCGAAGGAAAGGTATTGTAAAATATGAATAAAAAGATAAGGAAATGGGACGTTCGAAAGATCCAAATTTTATTGTTCCAGTGGAAGTTGTTACTATACCAAGAGAATATTAATCCCATCGCTAGGTCTTAAGTTGTCGAGACTGATGCAAGGTCGCCGACGATTGTTTCAGGGTAAACTGTACTATTAACGCCTGCCCTACCAAAACTTTTTCTTGCTTACGCTCCTATTCCCAATGATATGACACGACAGTTTTAAGCGATAATAAAGATAATTACAATTGGTCATTGATCAATTCATTAAAACGTTTGAAACAGATAAACACAGACTCATTGCTATATCGCGATTTTTCATAGTTAGATAATTTCTAGAATTATGTATAAAGGAAATTGAAGGCAGAATTTTCTATGCTACTATGTATTATTGTAAATGTTCGTGATACTTCCATTTGTAGGATAAGGCGTAGAAGTACCGAGCTTTTACGAGTTTTCTCGTGAAGTGGAGTCTACTTCCACCTTTGGGTGATATTAGTTTTGAGAACGCTGTGATCTCTTTTCTGATGTAACCTACTTATTCCCTCGGTATAGAGCATATTTTCTAGCATATTTGTTCGTGTATCTACACAAAGGACTCGTGAAAATCTTTCAGCGGGTACATTCCCTCGCTTTTGTTATAGAATAGCGAAACATATTTCATCCGCTAGGGTGTCATTCATCAAATTCGTTTCTAAAGACGTGACGTAACTGATTGCCGGCGTAGGGGGATGATTCTCAGGTAGCGAGGATGATTCTTTATTTCTGTTTGAAATCGTCGGGAGATAGGATCGTAAAACGTGAGCGTCGCGGCGCCTGCGTCACGATGCTCGGCGTACATCCATGGCCAAGGTCCTCCCCGGTCACGGGCAACCCCGTTATATGTGGCTAGGAGCCGGCACTCGCTCGAGGTCGTTCATGATTGTCTTTGTTCGCCCCAAGGCTTGGAAAAGGTTGATATCCAGGCGCATCTAGCTAGCATGTTATGAAAACACGACGCCCATACGGATGACCGTAGGTTTGAAATAATATCACCTTGAACTTAACATTTAAAAGAGCGTTCGCTCTCTAAGGATACAGTCTTAACTATATAAGATTTTTAGTTAGCTATGTGGATTATGGGAACCTTCTAAATGTGACATAACTACTCTGCAAATAGATATTTGATCAGATTGCTTTAATCGTGTAGTTGCCCGAGAAGTTCTTTGCACCGAATCACTAGGTTACAACTCGATTAGTACTTATTAACGTTATTAATGAGATCCGACGAGTTGCACTTGTTGGAAATTGAGTCGAGGCCGGGTCACGCTGTTTAACGTTCGAGCGTAGGCTTGTTTCAAGGCAGCCTTTCTTTCGTCTATTGTCCCAGACAGGAAATTGATTTCATTTCTATAACAATGACTGAATGTCTGAGTGTCTATTATGACTTGACGCTTTCAACAGGTGTTAGAATTATTCTATTTATTTAGCTCGCTGCACGGTTCGTTGGACTGGCAATTTTGTTTCCGATTATCGTGGATTTTCACGTGGAACAGATTAGGTTTCAGAATAAATTAAGCAGACGTTCGTCCAATTATGCAACCCACTCTTTGAGATTCAATCTTGACGAGCGCCGAGATGGTAAAAGATTCTCCGTCGTATCCTTAGATTTCCGGTTAGTTTCTTCTCTTCCTAGAACGTATTACCGGTATCCTTCCCACTTGCTCGCAGGAGGGTTGGGAGTTCGATGTTGAGGCCATCCGGGGGCGGCAAGTTCAAGGTTGCCACGTCCGGGCCACGTCCGGGCATGCTAACCCAAATACGATTACGCTCTGAGGACAGTGGAGAGCCGAGACAACAAACTCGAGAATCAGTTAGAGTTTGCTAGGCCAATGGAGCAAGGATACAACCCAAGCCCAATCCCCCTCGGTGAATTAAACTCCTGAGCCGATCTGTGGCTTCCTATCTATCCGGTAACGCTTTAAATGGTTTCGTGTTATACCGCGGCGGTGGAAGTTCCGGGCTCGGTTTCAGCTAATTGATAGAAAACTTTTAATTGTACGCAGAAAAGTGAATTAGTTTCGTAACCGACGATTCTGATTATTTGTATTAGAGATTCAAGGCTGAGTAAGAATGCCTCGTTTTAATTCTACACGCTTCATATTCGATTTTCTATCTATTTTATATACATACTCAGACCGTTTTTGCTTGGAAATCTGATGTTCTCGTGTACTGATTTACTTAATTAACGTGTCGCCATTTAATTTCCACAGTTGTAATCGTCGGTCTCCTCCAGGTTAATTGCGATTCATGCAATTGCATCACATTTGCGGAAGAACAATAATACGTAGTAGATGTAGACACAGTTTGATGTCGATTGCCTTGAACATCGAGTCCTCGTGCATCGTGGATACAATTTCAGCCATTTACCTCGCTAACTAACAAAACCATCTATTGTGATATACGTCCGTTTTTATTTCTGATTAGCACACGACCGATGAATATGAATTTATTAACAGATTAGATTCACGACGGATTGAGATCGCATCGTGCTAACAATGCACTACGAAGGTTGAATATCCATACGCTGTTGCACGTAGTTGGCAGACAGTTTATGCTTAGATATAATCAAATAAACGAGCCATACAAAATATCAACAAAATATATAAAACAATTCCTCCGTTTTCTAATCTATTATGCATCGATCAAGAACTTTGCCCCATTATGAAGCATAATATCAAGCATAAAAATGAGTAATCGATACATTAATTTCGAAGTGTAATTTTTTTTATTAAGAGCTGATGCAATGCTGTTTGCAGTATTCGTACTTCGTAATGAAGAATATTATCAGTTTATGCGTCTGATTTCCGCGCATTTGCGTAGGAGGATACTAGCTGTGTGCTCATCATTGCGCTTAGTCACGAGGATTATCGCCTCGTAGTAATGTTACCAGGACGTCTCATTACGAAACATTCGTCGAGCACGCGAAGGAGGCAGACGAAACGAGAAAAACTTGTTCCTCGAATTTTCCTGTCCAGCTCGTAACCGGTCTGCCATTATGATGCCATCGCCCATACGTAATAGCAATTAATGGTATCACGTTATGTACTCCGGTTATGAATCCAAGTTCCAGCTGTTTACTATCTCTGGTGTTTAGTGCCAGGTAGAATAGCGAACATTTCCTTGTCATCATAATTTGATTACGTCGCTGAGAATGTTTTTAATTAACAGCCGTTAATTATGAAAGAGCGGCTGTACGGTTTCCTAACGGAGCTGTTCGTTTTCAATCGGGCCACGAAGTTCTGAACAAGTTTCGATTAAAGTAGTTAAAGTCTGATCAGGAAATCCCGACGGGTCTCGGAGGGGGAGGCGAAGTTTGTCCGCAGATTTCCTTAACGGAAATCTCTGCACTCGCCCACGAGACGACTGACGTCCACGTTTTTCCCCCGGTGTTGGAAAATACGTTCGCCCTCTTTTCCTATTTTCCGCGTGGGCCGCGCAGTCAAGCGTGCTATCCTTGAACTTCATCCAGCTCCACCTCTTTCTTCCCTCTTCCTTTCCGTCTACGAGCCGTTCTCTGTTCAACCACCTTCTTCCTTCCTCTCTCTAATCCCCTATAAATAACCATTTTATTTGTCTCTTCTCTCTTATCACTCTATCAACGTGCCACGTTCCCCTCGCTCGTGTGATCCACTGACGTCACGGCTATCGACCCGAAATCCAAGGGTTGCTCATGGCTATACTCGTCTGTACACGTGGAGCATTAGCACGTGTACTGTCCCCTTTGATACTCCTCTTCGCAGAATTTTTGTTAACCACACGCACGGCTCTAATGGTTTAGAATGAATTTTGTAGTCCAGCTCGTTAAGTCTCTTTTTCGTCAAATTTAATTGCTTCAGGGTAAACCCTGAATGGTGTGCTCGGATAATTTTCGAGATTGCGAAACTTTCTTCTCTAACTGCGAGGATGTGGGACGATTGTACGGCGAAAGTCGCTTGCAATTGTCCAAATTGCTTTGCTTTCTCAATTCTTTGTTACCCGCCAGAGGCAGCTATTAATTAACGTGTTCTAGAAATTCATTCTTACGTTTTACAAAATTTCAACGAATATGACAGAACAAATGTTCTCCTTTTATTTCTTATAGGAGAATTTGAAAACAGTCATTCGGCTGGTAGGTCGTTCAATAATAGAAGAAATGAAATATGATTGCAGGTGATTCATCGAGTTCGATTTGGGAACTGCTACGAGCAATTTTTGTTGACTCGTGCACACAGCCACGCGTTCGTACTCGATCTGAACGTCACGTCCTCGTGACCTGTGTGCACATTAATGCACGTCAATGCAGCCTGGCGTACGACGTATCGGGACACATCAAGGGCACCAGCCGGGATTCACGATGGAAAATCACGACAACGGGGAAGGAAGAACCTTCCATCGGAAAACCAAGTAAGTGACCACTGATTCTGTATGCCTGCTGTTATCACGCAGCAGACTGTGACGACGGGTGCGTTAATATTTAATATTATATAAAATATGTATATATAAAATTAATAATTAATACTTGTTAATATTATTTTGTTAATAATGAATCGGTCCTCAATTTATAATGAGGCAACGAACGATTATTAAAAAGGCTAGCGGGAATTTATTATTTAATTAAGAACAATTCTCGGATTAACAACTCGTAATTAATTCGAGTAAAATAAAAAGAAGGATTTTGATAAATTAAACATACAAATGAAATACCTATTGAAAATCTACTAAACGGTAATATATTCCTTGTTGGGATGAATGAGCATTGAAGATAATCGAGTAACTTTCAGTAATCCGCATTTCACTAGAATATGATATCATATTTCAGCATCACAGCATCGCGACATAGATTCATCACATTTTTCAGTTAGGATTCAGAATACTTCAACTGATTATCAGCTTTGAAGAAAGCTTTTTTAAAGCTAAACCGTTATTGTTATTTGGCAACCAATAATTTTATGCATATTGCGGATTTTTATGCACAAATCAAACATTCCTGACCTTTTAGAAATTTTTCTATAAACCTATGAAGACCGCAGTTTATCGAGAGATAAAGAAAGGGTTATCGTTGGTAGGGCAAGTTGATAGTAAAACCGCAACACGTTCAGTCGTTCATTAAGAACGATCTCGTATCGATTGGACAGAGAAATCGTTAACGATTGGCAACCAGCAATGGCCCATTGTAACGGTCGAGTCAAGTGCGAGCCTTGACATCCGCGGCCTTGTCAAGAATTTTTCCGCATTCGATTGTTGTTCCGAGCGAGCTCCGCGAATCGGAAGAAGGGGAAAACGCGAAACGGGATGGCGACACGCGATCTAAGAAGAGGGAAGCAAGAGACGAGACGCGAGATCCGTTGTTGAATGGCAATCGCGAATGCCGCGACCTTCAAAAGCCGCACGATAGACAGTATTAACTGACAGACTGTGTAAATTTTGTTAAACTGCTGTCTGTCATTTCAAATTTTCACTGCGAATTAGTTTCAAGTTGATATTTTTCAAATTAGTTGCTTTGCAATTTCAAGGCTGTTACAAAAATAGAATTTAATTTTCACATTTGCAATTATATTGTCGTTAATAAGTCATTACTTAATTTGTACATATCCGAAGGACATAGACAGTTTATACTAATTTAACGTTTGCGTAGTTTAAACAGTTCCATGAAGAATTCAGTAAAGGTTATTGAAGGTTTAGTAGAGATCGTTAATAAGCTATTCTTCCGAGATAATTAAAAAAAAAGAGCGTTTACCCGCTAAGTGTATTGACAATCGTACAATTTCTCAAAACGGTCGTAAAGTACTGAGGAACCGACAAACGTTTACGACACCGAGTTTCCTCTCGTAATCGACTACACCTGAAACTGGGAAAACATTGCGTCCCGGTCTTTTGACTGTTGGAAATTTACGACGTCTTGCGGACCGTTACGCCTTGATCGCAAACTTTCGGCCCTGAAATGTCGTAATGGATTCTCAGGGGTCGGAGGGTAACTCGTCATGATTTGCGACCTCCGTTGCTCCGTATTCTTTCTTGAAAAGAAACCAGTCCTGTGGTAAAAATATATATGTATATATATATATATTTCTTCTTTAGAACGTGACAAGGGGGAACCTTGAACCGCCTGCTTTGCCGCATTCAATTCATTCCTCAATTTTTTCATCTCTTTCTACCGAAGCCACACGGAAGGTTGATCCTGAAATTAAGAGGCAGTGACAAAATACGGACAGTTATTATAAGCATTCTTAGTCTAGACAATTCAATAGAGAATACAATTGCCTGACCGTGTAACATTATTTGGACTAGTCATATTTTTGTTCAATGATTATTTCTTTGGCCTCCTTGGAAAACGGATGAAAGATTTACAAGCTCGTTGTCGTAAAAAGCATGAATTCGTGGCACGACCTTCGAATTTACTTGCAAATAAAAACCGTGACCCTACAGCTGTTTAAGACTGCTCTGACGACCTCTAATGCTTTATAACCGGCACGATCTTTCTGTCCAACAATGCCTCGTAAAACGCTCGATGACTTCAGGCTCGTGTCGCTTATATTGCCGTCACTTTGCAACAATGACCACGATAAAGTATTTACAAACACATGCGCGGCTATGTGCCTGTTCATAAGTCTTACGGTTCTCCTAAGCTAACGGGAGAATTATAAAACATTGAATATAGGAAACCAGAGTCATAATCAGATAATGAATCGTAAATCATGAACAACTTCAATAAATTTTATTCTTACATGCTTGAAGCTTGTCAGCAATTTTAAAAAATGTCTCCACGCTTAATCTAGTAGTTAATTTCATGTGTTTCAACAGTTTTTGTCTACTGGAATAAAAAAAAAACGCACTCTGAATTTTATCTAATTACAGAATCGAGTCAATCATATATGTATCACAATTTTATACAATTTTGCATTTTGTTCTGAAATTTATGAACAAATTTATATTCAATGATAGATGACCACTTTTTTGTGTCAGGATTGACTCTGAGAATTAAATTTTTCATAGTGCTAGTCTCGCGTTTCCCATTCCGGTGCTAAAATATACGACGAGATGTATGTTCGTCGAAGGTCGACTTGTTATTTAGTCGTTATTAATAACCTTGGCTACCGCGAGCCGATTTTGTATCCGTCCTGTTGCACCGCGGTATACACGTACTCTACTTAAACGCTGAAACCGGAAGTTGTCGGTTTTCTGAATGAGCGTTCGTCATTCGGGCTGACCGAATGCACTAAACCAGAGCCTATTATTAAACGTGACTTTAGGAAACTCGTTCGGAAGTCTAGCCGCTTGTGCCATTCGTCGATCCTTCAATTTATTTCGGTGACGAAACTAGAGGCAATCTTTTTGAAATGGAGAAACTGAAGAATGCTTTAATTCTCGGAAATGCGGAAATCAATCGCGACGATAATGACAAATGGTTGATTTATCAACATCTCGATCATTTCGAATAAAATCATAGAATCGAGTAGGCGGAAAAGCGTGTCATGCTGTTCCATTTGTCTACGTATGTAACTATCAAAGGTGGTTCGATTTCCGTGTGCGCGCCGCCGCCACGGTTATTGTTAGAACAACGAAGTTACGTGCTCGTTTACTCAAGTGGTTGATATACTGGCTTTAACATCGAAGCACGTGTATATGTGCGTCTGTGTAAAAGAGAGGCCAAAGTGCACCTATGCCCGCGATTTCAGGCTAAAAGTGGAGCCAAGGATATCGGTACGATAAGCAGGGTTAGGGTAATCCGAGCTCAATAACGCGTAGTTCTTTGTTGACCAAGGACCAACGTCAATTCTAAAATTGTTCCTCCAGCGTCGTTCCTACGATTTCCTACGTATGACCATTGGACAATCCAAGTACTCGTCTGTCAGTCATAAAACGTAGAACAGAATGACACATACTAAGTATGAATAAAAAAATGTTGATTATTTTTAAAATTCTTCGTTACGTTTCTACGATTTCCTATGATCAATTGGACAATCTAAGTACATATCTGTAAATCTTAGAACATAGTAAAACATAGAATAGAATGACAAGAGTATGAATAAAAAAATGTTACTTTTTAATTTGGCTGAGAAAACTTTTGTAATGTCGCATCTATTATTTTAATCAGTGGATCAAAACGTTTTTCTACAGTAATCACTACACTAAATTCTATTGACAGTGAACGTGGGTAAAGGCGCGCTTTCATTCCAATTTGAATTCAAATGCAATTTCATTGAAAAAGTTGTTTCAACGAGGTTCCAAGTGTTTGTTCAACGTATGCCTTCTAAAAAAGGATCGAAGTTATTTATCCTTGGCCGAGGGTCGGTCAAGGTAATCTCAATGATTCGTCAAGGATCGTCTTCATCTGCGAGAAAGCGAGACTTTCTAGAGATGTTTACGAAAGTCATAAGGTACCAAGGGCAACTTTTCGAAACCAAGTTTCCACCACACGGAACGGTCCGACAGGCCTCTGCGGTTTCTTACCGAAAACTACGGATCGATGGACCGTTCTGCATTCCGATTTCACGCCATTCGTAAAACGGTAAAAGCGGACCGGAATTCCCAGGGCCCAAATTCCCGTTCTCCCAATTTCATTGTTCCATTGACATATCTATATTTATGATCGCTGCAACTCTTTCTTTTGTCAAATACCCAAGTTGCCTCTCTCTGACGTTTAACAAGTTTCCTGTCAGTGTCGCATTTAGCTTCGAGCGATGCATGTTTTCTGCAATAACACTTATCGTCAATTACTACTTTCGTCTATTGTACTCCAAGGAGATTGAAACAATACGTGTCTGTTCATAAGTGAACATTTATACACCCACACGTAACACGTACAGTTGCAGCATTTAACTACAGTATATGTTATTTTTTCGATAGTATGTACGCGTCTGAATGAACACGTTAGCTACGTTTAAGTAGATTCATGAGTCACTGCTCATGACCAAGCACGTGCCCAATACAATTCGTCATGAAAAAGTCTGGAAAAGTGTTTTGATAGATAACACATTGATTAGAATACCGAAGGTTTTTTAGATATTTCTGAAACATTAGTCATGCCAACGCAACAATGGCATGAAGCCATCACAACAAAATAATGTTTCATAAAAATTTAGCATGAAAAGCCTTCCATGAAAATATTGTAAGTTTCGTTTAAATAGATTCATGAATCCAATATCCAAGCATGTGTCGAGTAAAATTCGTGATGAGCTTGTAGAAGTGTTTTGATATATATATTGATTGGAATGTTTAAGCTTTCTCTAGATAATTTTAGTTAATTATACAAGGAAATAATGTGAATTACAAAATTTACTTAGTGAAGTGAAAATTGTTTCATTAAAAATTTGGCAACCGTGACATCCTACAAAAGTATCAAATTCTTATTTGTTCATTCATACTCTTGCAACATCTCGGTTAAACGTTTTACGATGCGCCCT